TTTTAGGATGTTATCCCCGAAATAGAATTAAAACCACTAGGCCGAAGCGACATCTCCTCTCCATGTTTTCCAGTATTCCGACATTTGATTATTTTTGGCAGCGATGACAAGCTTTACCCGTAAGTGCCGTCATAGCAATGCAATGGATGGATGAAGATTTGTCTGTGAGCACGGACTTTTAGAGGTGCATGGAGATATAGCGACGTCATAAGAATGGGCACGGAGGAGGATCGACTGAAGCTAGCGAAAACAGAACGTGAGATACAGCCTGATGATCCGATCAATATTCAATACACAAGCGTATGTTTCCGTCTCTTTTTGGTACGAAAATTGATGCACTGGTCTTTAGGGAACGACCGGACAACCGAAAGGTGCCACTCTTACCCATCATAATGTCTTGAACAATGCTTACTTCGTTGGTATTCGAGCTGGATATCATGAACAGGTGTGGAAGTTATTGATAATAGAGTCGCCCACGGATTGGTGATTTTCAGAAGACGGTCATCTGCATACCAAATCCTTTGTATCATTGTTTTGGATGTGTTATGGGAGTTTTATCTGCTCTCACTCATCTGCAGACGTGCGTTTTCCCTGCACCTAGCTTCGAAGCGCTTGCAGCTTTACAGGCCATTGACGAAGAAAAGTCAGCCAAAGCTTACCATCTCAATTACCAATTCCAAAAATTTATATTTCAGATGCACCGCTCTCTATGGCACTCCCACCATGTTCATAGATATGTTAAATCATCCCGAATATTATAAATATAATTATGATAGCATCAGATCAGGTACATTATTCCTTAGCAAATTTGCTCTTCTCCTTCACTATACTCTTGAAGGATTCATTGCTGGAGCTCCATGTCCTATCACACTTTGTAGACGCTTGGTCAATGAGATGCACATGACAGATATGCAAGTTAGTCAACTCGTGATCTTGATACCTATTTGCGAGAAGAAGCTTGTGATTGCTAATTCCAGGTATGCTATGGCACAACAGAAACATCACCCGTGTCCTTTATGTCCATACGAGATGACCCTCCTGAACAACGGATAAAGAGTGTTGGACATATCATGGATCACTTGGAGGTTTGCACAAACCAAAGCTTTGTTTTGAAAATCGCCGTACTCACTTATGCGAATTACAGGCTGCAGTTGTAGATAAATACGGTAAGATAGTACCACGAGGTGAAAAGGGCGAAGTGATTGTACGAGGCTATTCCGTCATGCGATGTTACTGGAATAGCGAGGAACAAACAAAGAAAGAAATCACCGAGGATAGGTGGTATCATACGGGGTATGCGATAACTTCAGCTGATAAGCTTTTCCCTGCTCACACTTTTCATTTTAGTGATATCGCTGTTATGCATGATAATGGTACGATCTCAATAGTAGGGCGATCTAAGGACATGATTGTTCGTGGAGGGGAGAATATCTACCCAACTGAAGTGGAGCAATTTCTGTTCAAACATCCAAAAATTGAGGATGCGCATGTGAGATTTTATTAGACTACTAAGAACACTTCTTAGCCAAAATTGTTGAAATTTTGGAATAAAAAGAAAAACTTAAAAAATCAAAATTAGTTGCGCGATCTATAGAATCCGTGGCTATGTCAATGTCTTAACTGTCATGTGACACAAACTTACTACTCAAGAAGAATCGTTTCAGATAGTGGGCGTACCTGATGAACGATATGGTGAATCTGTATGTGCGTGGATTCGCTTGCACGAGTCGGCTGTTGGGATTGTCACTGAGGAGCAGATCAAGAACTGGTGTAAAGGAAAGGTAAGTGCTTAATTAGTACACTTTCTAAAAAAA